AAAAATAAAAGGGTTACAAAATAACTATATAACCAGCTACAAAATGCCTTTATTTTATGTAACAAGACGAGCAGAGCTTTACTAGCTCTGAACGAATCCAGTAAAGAACCTCGGATTTTCAAAACTTAAAAAAAAACAATCTCACCACATTTTCACATTTTTGAAATATTATAGAGCTTTTCGAAAAAACTGCTATTTTTAAAAATACAATTTGTTTAAACAGCTATGTCTCATTTTAGGCTATTGAGTATTATAAAATAAAAAATTACGGGATGCTTTGTTAGCTTCAAACGAATCCAGCAGAGCACCCCAGTTTTTTTTTAAACCACACCACGTTTTTTGGCTCCTACAATATTATAAAATATTCGAAATTTGGCATTTTAAAAAAAATTCGCAATTCCTTGCTGACTTCAAAGTTTTTTTCTGAAAACAAATGTACTTACCACATTTTTAGGATTTTAAAACAGCCTAAACATGTGTCATAAGTCATAAGTAGTTGTTTTTATATATAAAAAAAAAAAAATTAAAAAACTGAAGTGTCCTGCTGACTTTGTTCCAACAAAGCACCCTGTATTATTTAAAAATAGCAATTTTTTTAGTAAAGTTTTACAATATTTCAAGAGTCTAAAAATATTCTAAAAATGGGGTGTGGTTTTTTAGAAAAAAAGCTTTAAAAAACCGAATTGCTCTGCTGGCTTCTTTCGAAGGTTAGCAAGCACCATGTATTTTTAAAAATATAATATTTCAAGTGCATAAATATATGGTGTTGCTGTTTTTACAGAAAAAACTTTATAAAATAGAGGTGCTTTGCTGACTTTGTTCGAAGCTATAGAGCATTTTAAGTTTTGCAAAAAACGAGGAGCATAAAATTTTTGAAAAGGGTATAAAAATAGCCTAAAAATATGGCATATTTTTTAACTCAAAATTTCATAGGTGCTCTGCAGCATTCTTTGGTATCATAATTATTACTAGGTTCACTAACAAAATCTGTTTCTAGATTATTTTAACACTTGCTGCGATTACAAAAAATGTCTGTAGGTCAAAATTAGAAAAAAAATATTTATAGGAATAAAGGGCCTTATAAACTGTTTATTATATGTAATATAAAAACAAAAATCCATAATAAATATTACAAACCTTGACATGCAGCATATCCTTAGCATATTGTGCACTAAAAATTTCATTTTTGTTAATTACAATGCAACCACATCAGAAGGTTTTTGCCGTACTTTATGTTTAGGTGTAATTTGTCTCCTTCTCTCTTATGGAAAAAGAAATTATCCCCATATACTTGCTTGGCAGATCTAAAAATAAAACCTGAGATAAATATGTTTTACTTGCTCCATATAAACTGTAACTACCTACTATTAAAACAAAGTCTTACCTTTGTGACTAACAAAGTCTTACCTTTGTGACTTTTGTAAACTGAGTATTGTTAAAAAATGCAGTAATCATCTCGGTAATCATATTTTCGTTTACAATGGGTAAAACACTTGATTCAACTTTTATAAATCCAGCTGATTCATATTAATAATAAAATTAAACCAAAACAAAAAACTTAAGGTTAGAGGTGTCAATTTTAATGTCACTTAGATGTGCGTTCACTTCGACATTCTGTGTGTTGGTTTGTTCGTTGGCTTGGTTTTGTATAACAAAAAAAACTTCGACACAAGATGATTGGTCTATTCCCGATGACGTATAATTTCAAATTTTAAATTTCAATTGGGCTTAATTTAAAAACTTTTAGCTTTTTTAACGAACTGACTATTTAGAATTACTTGTATAGCGACTAACTATTACAATATAATTTATAAAACAGCATATCTCACATGTGAACATGGCCCATTCCGGAAGCAGAAGCGGATGATTAAAACGCACCTGATATTTTGCTTGCTGCTGTCAGTGTCAGTGAATATTATTTTTGGGGTCACAGTTTATTGCTAAAGAATCAGTTAGCTCACTCGGACCAGTTGAAATTTCCAAAATTACATCCACTCCAGGGATACAAATTCAGGATACGCAGAAGACTGCTGTTTTATTATAGGCGGTTGCCATATATTGTATTATCCGAGTTGCACAGTGTATAAACTGGAACATTGAGATCAAAAGTGCCGACGCATAGTGAGCGATCTGATTCTTTAGCTATAAACTGTGGCATAGGAATCAAAATGGCCGCGCCCTATGTTGGGAGTGTCGGACCTCTCTCTTGCACCGTATAGTAATCAAAGTATGTGTAAAAGGCACTCAGAAAGCTGCGCAGTGCGACCATTCTCCGTATATTAAAAGAAACAATCAAAGTATGTGGTGTATACTGAATTTCATTATTTTGTGACGTCATTTTCATTAAGGTATTTATAAATATTCTTTCTTATTATTAGTTATGCAACACATACCGGGTGTTCTATTCTAAATTAACATGTTGTTTTGAATTAGGTATATTGTTTTGTCAAATTTTGGATACACATTTACTATTTCTTTAATCGGATGTGTTGTTTAAATTTTAATTGGAAAATTGATTCAATTTGTCTTATATTATACAGGGTTGTTCATTAATCCTTGATATTATTTGATAAATCTATTTGCTCTATAATTGGCTGTTTTGTTTTCAATTTTAATAATCAAAATTGATTAAAATAAATTATTAATATACAGGGTTATTCATTTGTAATTGATATTATTTTGTACATCTGTTTGTTTTCATTATTTGCTATATTAATTCAAATTAATGGTCACACTTGATTAACATAGTTTATAAACATACAGGGTTATTCATTTGTACTTGATATTATTTGGTAATTTGTTTATTTTTATTATTAGCTGTACTGTTTAAGTTTACTAGTTAAAATTGAATGAAATCATGTATTAACATACAGGTTTGTTTATTATTATTAATTATCATAACAATTATTTTCTCTTATTCGAGATTTTATTCTTCTATGCTTCTTTATACCCTTATTTTGATTTTAATGTATTGTATTTCGTTGCAATATATATATTTGTTCTAGTTTTATATATAGTTTAAGTGTATTTAAAAAAACAAATTAAATTTAGTTGCCGTGACGAAAAAGTAGATATAACAGTGAAATATTTTTAATAATAACCGAATTAAAACAATAATTTCGTTCTTTTCGTTCTAGAAGCACCATTTTTAAAGTACGTGATGCTAAAAATTATGCACTGTTACTCGATGTTTGATTAATTCAGAAGTGTTCTAGATGTATACAAAATTAAGAAAAATCTGAAAACACCTAATTTTTCAAAACCTGTTTCTCAGAAATGTACAAAATTAGGGATGTGGAGGTTTAAGGACATGCATATTCTTTTTGTTACACTGTTGTCAGATTGACAATGTAACACCATGTTTTTTTTTCTCATTTTTATTTTACTTTTTCATCCTACTTCAACGATATGTCATATTTAAGATTTTATACAGGGTGTTAGTATATTCGACCGACAACGCTCCACCCCAGAGAGCTCTCGTTAATTGATGAACTTTAATATAGGAACGTAGACCCTTAAATGGCTTAGTTACCGAAATACAGGGTGGTAAAACTTTTAAATCAAAAACGCCTTTAAATATTAATTTAAAACTTGGTGACCACTAATATGCTCTTTAAGAAGGTAATATTTTGACATAAACTTACTTTAAAACAAAAGTCTACATGTTCTTAATCACTTGTAAGGACTCAATATTTCTAAATTCTAATCTAGTAAGCACGTGTCAATTTTTTTATAGTTTGTGTTTTAGACAAGATCTTGGTAGATCAAATTTAAAAAAAATGTATTTAAAGACTTTTTTGTTTTATGGTAATTTTGATTTAAAATTTTTAACATCCTGTATCTCGGTAACTAAGATTTTTAGGATTTCATGTTCCTATATCAAAATTCATCAATTGATGACACCTGTCTGTGATAGAGCATTGTCGGCCGAATACATTAACACCCTGTATATATTTGTAACCTACTTGAGCCAGGTACCTTCCTAATTTATTAAAGAAAAGTTACATTCTTATTAAATTCAAAATCCTTCATTTTAGTGAAAAATCTTATCTATGATGACAAATAAATAAAAAGAATATTTCTGTTCGCGTGGTCTCTAATATTACATGTAACAAGCACAATAACCAGAAAAGATAAAAAGTAGATAATATCCCAAATTGTAATAATTCTACATAATTTGAACAGCTATTCGGAGTTTATTAAACTAATTGCACGAAATTTATTATTAGAATCTATAAAATAATTTTCTACGGCAATGTTTGGCTTTCACTTCTATTAGCTCCGCGGGGAAACTGTCAAATCCTTTGTATGAAGTGGGAGAACTGCGAAAAGCATTTCCAATATATGTCCCTGCTCTACAGCAAAAGCAAAATAACAAAAATTGCGAATTTCTGAGAACCCGTTTTTGATAAAATTGGGCGTTTTTAGACTTTTTTCCTCTATTTGTTATGCCAATACGTATACGAGCCAGATGGTACCCGCTGAATTACCTGCTTGAATATTATGTTAAATAAACAATTTATAATAGTTTAGATGCTTTGCACTTATCACTTATTTTTTTCTGTATTTTTATTCTATACCTTCTCTAAAATGTTTTGTATTATTCGAAACTTCACTGGAGGTTTTTTAACTGGATGTTTTTCTGATTGGACATTTTTCCGTTACATATCCCATTATTCAAAACATTTTGAAAGTGTGTATAATGTAGTTTGGCAAATTGACCTAAGTCGCCCGCATTCTTAAAAAAATTGAGGAAAAAAAGGCTAATAAAACTCAAAAATAATGTCTTCAGAATGTTTTAATTCCATTCGTTTTAGAATTTCATGTTTTATACATCAATATAAATAAGTACATAATTTATTACGCTATTAATACCTAAATTATAAATACTAGTTTATAAATTAATTTAAAAAAATATCCAAGCCAAGCAGGCCTTGGAATGCTTTAAGAAAATTTGACTAGAATGAGATTTGGAAGAGAAATCCTTCTAAAGTTATTTGTTACTTCGACCCCTGAAACAAACAGAAAAAATATTAGAAATATAAAAAATAAAGGTTTAATAAATTATATTTGTCAAAAAGTGGCAAGAAGTAAATGGCTACACAAACGAAAGAGTTCGAATTAACAGAGACCTAAAAGGATGTAAAATAAGTATTTAGAATCAAAATAACTTTCAGTTAAGATTTCTGTTTTTTTTTTAATAAATAGGAATTATTGAGATATTTTAGTGTCATATATAAATTATTATCTACTGGGAAACTTCATTTGATGTATTAAAAGAGAAGTTAACCACTGCGAATTCGACTACCGAGTATGAGATATATATCAGTAGTAGTTATGATTTTTGTTATAATTACCTGCATAGGATATAAAAAAGTCTCGACGGAATCTTCACCCACTGAATTTTCTAATGCGCACACATAGGCGCCCATATCTGACCATTCCATTGACCTTATTCGAAGTTCGCCTTCCTGTGACATCGAATATTTTTCGCTGCTTTCAATCACTTTGCTATTGGGATCCAACCAAATGACGTTGGGTCGGGGATTTCCAACGAATTTGCAGGGGAGTGTAGCGTCGTTGCCTGTAAAAAAATAAATACGTAAATATGGTTGGAAAACTGCCAAAATTCAACTAAACATTTCGAATTAGGGAAAACTGTAGCTAACCAGTAGCCGGCATGGAAAATTCTATCAGCATTCAGAGGTAATCTAACTTTTTTAGACGAGGCTTTTTTAAACAAAAGTACCTACCTAGTCTGTAGATTTGCAGAGAATGTATAAATGACATTTTAGTCAAATGATGAAGAAGAACATGATGACTGGATTGAACGAATTACAGAAAATATCATCATTAGAGCTACTTCTCCAAAGGGCATCGATGATGAAATAAGAAAACAATATTAATCCAAAAAACTCCTGGTTTTGACTTAATAACCGCTTTTAATTTTTATGGCAAGAAGGATTCTTCCACAAGCTGGAAACACAATATTCAGACCTATTAAAATCATAGTTAACAAAGATATTTCAACAGGAAGAAGCATATTCTGAATTAAAGGAAATCAATGCAAGAGTACCAATGTATTGTACTGGTTCCCGTACTTTACCTGCTATAATCCAATGACATACTCATTCTTGAGCTCGATACAACAGCCACATTTGCAGACGACACTACAATACTAGTGTTACAGAAAAAGATCACGAAGAAGCTGTCAGAAAAATCATCGTAACTAGATCCATGGCTGGACTAGAAAATGGCGCATCAAATTGAATGAAAACAAATATATTCACGTAAACACATTCAAATCAGAATAAACGATACTCAGATCCCGTTTGATGGATATGACGCTAGCCTTCGCTGGAGAGTACATGTCAAAAAGAAACGAGAATAAATTAAAATGAAATACATAAGTATACTGGCTGATAGGAAGACATTCCAATTGTTTCTTTACAAGCAAATCCTGAAAAATGTCTGGACATATGACATCCAGCTTTAATATTATGCCAGCAAAAATATTAACATTTTCCAACAACAGAACAAGTGCTAAGGAATATCTCAGATACATCCCTATACGGCATCAACAAAAGAAATATGTGGTACTCTCATTAAAATAGCATTTTGAGGCAACTGCTAATATAAAAGAGAATCCCGAGAATGTCACCATCTGGGACTAATAAAAATCTAGTCCTTTTTAAGAAATTTGAACTTTCTGACGATCACCAAGTCTACTTACGCATTTGTGTAACTGCTGAATTAAATTAAACACTTACCTATAACGTCCATGTAAGTGGTAGCCCAAAATGTCACCCTGGGTAGGTGGTGCGCTCCGAGGATCTTCGCGCTAAGTAACTGAGTGAAGTTCATTTCTCTGCCGTCGGTAACTAATAATTTCGTGGCAGCAGTATCAACTTTGGTCCCTGATTCTGCCACGCACCGGTATACGTCCTGGTGCCTGGGTAATAAGTAGTTTATAACCAGTCTTGATGAAACCTGAAAAAAAGAAACATTACTGAAATGTACCGTTAAAATATGTAAAATTGCTGCACAACTTGGTTAAATGGGAAAGTCTTGAATACTAACATACTAACAAGGAAAGATGAAGTTTACAAGGTATTTGGTTTTTTTAATTATCATACCTGCGCTAAGGCTGGATTCCTGCTAATTGAATTTGTCTCAAAGACCTCGTTTTCCGTAATCCTCCGATTGGACTTATACCACTGTATTGTGGGCGGCGGTGATCCCATCGCCTCGCAGTGCAGCTCCATGTGGGCGCCCACCTTCTTGGTCATCACCGCCACGGGGGGATTGTTGATTTTCACCCATTCGCCCGTCGAGAATGAGAGATTCTCTTCGGGAATACTGCTCACCTCGTTGTTGATATCTTCGAGTCGCCTGCAGTCAATCTGGTTTAGGGTGGTCGCTGTTATAAGTAATACTGATAGGATCATCTGGAAAAGAAGAAGAACGATCATAATTTGGTTCGGATTAGAAAGCAATTTTTTTTTTTTAGTAAAACAACTGAGAGAAGTAAAACATTGTATAGCGAAAGCAAGAAAAAAACATTGGGAAAGAAGTAAAAGCTTTTGGAAAATATGAAAATTAATGCATCTGGTTGATAGGAATGATCTATTTTTTGTCGGAAAATATATATTTTAAAATTAATATTTCAAAATCTTTCAACAATTAACTGTAAACCTTAAAAAAAAAAACTTTAAAAAATCCTTCAGTTTATTTTAAAACCATAATAGTAGAGTAGGGAGGATGGGTGTTTTTGATATACCGGGATAATCACATTTTCAATAATTCAATTTTATGTTGTTTAATTTAATAGGTCTTTATTTTTATTCATAATCCCGCCGATATTATTTCTGCAGTTCCAAGATTTTTTTATATCCTATTAAGGCAACTTAGCAGTAAATTATATAAATCAAATATCACGTAGTACTTAACCTGTAACTAATATAAACACGTTGAAATATGTCAAATTTAGATCTTGATCCAATGTATATGGAGACATCTCGGGAGTGGTCCCTAACAAAAAAGGAATATTAATCGCGAAGGCCCTCCATGGGGGAGATTCTGACCCCCAAACCCCGCGTGGCTATGCCACTGTCTCTAAACATACATTAAAAAAAATGAAGAGTTTGATGATTTTATTATGGACGCCATTAATAGATTTCGACCAAATTTATATGGGACCACCCCTGAGGTACCCCCTACAAAAATAGAATTATAGAAATCGGACTACGTGGTAAAGAATTATTGCTGAGTATACATTAAAAAAATATATTCCGGCTAATTGAGAACGTCCTCCTTTTTTGAAGTATGTTAAAAAATGCTGTGATTACGATAATAGATAATAAATACAATGTAATTGCATCGGTTGTGGTAAATCGTGGACTACAATACTCAACATATTCACAAGAATCGTTAACCAACTTTAATTTGATTGCCTTTTTTCCTTTTTCTTTTTGCATAATTGGCCAATATGGAAAAACAGGTTTCGCGAAAAAGTTTTTAATGAAATGAAAAAAAAGGGCTTGGCAGACAAAGGCACGAGAGAAAGTAAATTGAGCCCCAATATTTGGGCACATTTCTTTGTAAAGTTGCATAGGGTTGAGTACATTTAAACTCAATGAAAGATTTTTTTATTGAAAAGGAGGATTTTTGAAATTTTTAGGATTTTTTCTGTTTAAAAAATAGGAAAGAATAAATCGAATATAATTCTAGTTGACAATGGTAGAAATTAATCATTTGCAGATTCGATTTTTTTGTTAAAATTAATGACAAAATTAGTACATAAATCTATTACGGTCACATTATTTGTAGAATATTTTCTGCGTACAAAAAACTTATTAGCACATTTTTTTGTGAGTAAACGCACTATTGAAAATTGATCAAAACAAGAGAAAATAAATTTAATCAAATTGAATATAGTAGGTATTTAGATTAAATAAAACCACTGTTAATCCTAGAAATTTTAAACTGTTATAAAAAAAATACTGTAAAATGAAACAATGTATGCTCTCAAACAAAACTCGCACATGACTTATTTCAAGATATTTTTTGTATTTTAAAGCGGAATCGACAAAATGCGCGATTTTTTTATTTGCAATTAACGTACCTCGACAAACTCTGGCCAATTGACACAAAAAAAATTGTGGCAGTGCTTCGAATTTAAAATACGTTTCTACTGTTTAGGTATAGTCGAGTTACACGCGGTTCGATCAAATTAGTTTATATTTTAATGAGAAAACTTAAAAATCTGTATTTTGTGCTTTTTAGCATACAACCGGGATGGTAAGGATTTCATTTTCAGAGGAGATATAGAGCCCGTTAAAGGCCTACCCGATTCCAAATCATTAATAAATAGTATAAAAAATAACGGGACCAAATTAGAGCCTTGTGGAACATAAAAATAATAAATATTTAAAACCCGTTTGTGTGAATCTGGGATGTGTGTATGAGGGACAATCGGTATATTATATTGGCCAGCCAACACCTGACATTTTAAATTTCGCATTCCGAGGTTCTGAGCTTTTATCGTTTCAGCAAATGCATAAACAATGACCGGCTCTCAAATAAATCATGCAGTCAAGCCGCCTAGCAACAACGGGTTCGATATACATATATGTATAGTTACTTCTAGGAAAGCTTAGATGGCACCAAACAGTCTGTGCGCGCTATTCATCACTTTTTCCATGTGATTAATTTTGTTCTGGGCGATAGTTCTGAGAAACGAGTAAGATCCTTTAATTACGGTTGCCAACTTTGCTTGTTGCTATGTAGCTCTTGACACTTGTTAAGTGGGAAATAATTGAGCATCATTACCAAGTAATTATTTAAAATAGAACGTTGTTGCCATAGTCAATTATTCTTACAGGGACACGCCGTTGTGAAAGTCCAATATTTTGAAAAAAAACTAAGATTGGATGATTTTTGCAATGAGTGAAAAAAATATTGGTTGATTTAGAAGTCAAAATTAACGCTCCAAACAACAAAGTTAAAATAGATAACTGCCTTGCTACTAGGCGACAGGGGTGATAAGGGCAATGAAAATAATAGCGTAGAACCACACCAAGACATGTACAAAGCAGGAAATCATTAGAACAGAATTCATAAAAGGACTTTCGCCATAAGCCACCGAACATTTACTAAACAAAAATTGGAAATTAGAGAAACACTGGCTTAATAAGCCTATTAACAGTTAATGTGTAGGTTTAAGAAACATTATGTACTCGTATATCATCGGACTATCAAAAGAGACTCCGACCATTTTTTTTTGTAACTGCAAATATTCTATGGCCACAAGTATATGCCCAAGGGGTGAACTTCCAGAAATACTGGCACGTTTTTACTCGAAATCACTACAAATTTTCACGAAATTTCCGAAATCATTAGTAGTAATATCCCAAGGAAAGTGATAATTCGCCGTAAGCGGAGGGAAGTTACCATAAAAAAATCTGATGTGTCCAACACATGACTTTCCTATCTAGTTATTACAGGCTTTTTCCGGTTATTTTGTAGTCAAAACGGATTCAGGGGACCTCAAAACGTAAAAATCCGTCGAAAACTCGAGGTCGAAAAAAATCATGATTCCTATACTTTCCTTATATCTGTATACAGATAGGAAAGTAAAAACGTGCTTGAGGTATTTGAAATAAAATTATGAGTATTTATCACTGGCTGGATATTCGGTCAGAAAATTTTTAGCATATTTTAACTCATTTATTTAATAAAAAGTAAATTAATAGGTACATTCCATAAAGTCTTGACTTTACATTCCATAAAAAGTTGAGTACATTCTTTAAAGTCGGTACCATCTGTTTTCTTATATTTACTGCCCAATCCTTTAGTATATCAATATTTTGATTATTATTTAAATAAATAGAGACATTTAAAAAATAAATTTGAAAGTGTCAAAATTTGACTTTTTAGAAATGTCATTATTAAACCTGGTTTTCATATGGGGTACACTAATTTAACGTTCGTATCAGTTCGTATTAAGTAGTTATTGATAATGAAATGGGAAAAAGAGTAAAAAGTTATGAATTACTGTCTCTACTGTGAACCTTTTTAATAAATAATTATTAAAATAGTTAATAGACGAAACGTCAAATTGTGAGTTTTATCATTTAGCGGAATAAAAAATAGACGTATTAGTTCCTACATATTGATTTGTTTGGTGCAAACTTGACTTAAGTGATAACACCCCTAGGGAACTTATCAGTGTAAGTCAGAGCTGATTGGATATGCTGATGCACGTGACTGAAAATGGACGATTTTAATTGGTTTTCTTTGGATGCCAGAAATTTTCACTGAAATCACTTCGAAATATAAACGCAGCAGGTGGTAAAAAAAACAAGGGAAAAACTCCAAAAAAGTAATTTTAATAGATAATTTATGGTAAATAGGCTGAAATCAATTATACCAATTTCTGGTGATTTCCGAAATACGAGTACGTTTTGACCCTAGTGATTTACCCCTCGTATATGCCTTTTATCGGCTCGTGGTAGATTATGAGGCACTAGTGCGGGGTTTGCTAGCACTGTAACGCAAGCCTCAATACCAAAATTAGTCCCAATGTTTGCCTTCAGTATCTCCTCGGATTTGTGTTTTTTTGTTTTCTCATATCTTGCCTTTCCATTATTGACCGAATCATCTTGTACTATTCCAGTTTTATTTAGTTGCGAGCATTATATCGTCTGTGTTATCTGGTGAGATTGTTCTGTTTTGAGACTATTCAAAACCCAATTTATCTCTTCGCATTCATGTGCCATTTTTCTAGGCTTAACGTGCATGCCAATTCTTGCTTATAACTTCTAAAGAGGCAATTATAGCAATTATTCCTAATCAATGATTACCTTAAATTACTAAATTGAAATTGTTTAGTCCATTCTCAATGGACAAATAAGAAATAAAATTGATTTCGGATCATCCCTCGTATACGTGTGAAATTCCGATTCCGCTTATTTATAACTTCATTATAAATCCGTTGATTAAAATCCAAAAGTAAGCAATTATTGTTTCTAAACACGTTTCGACAAACTTTATCACGGTCTTTTTAGCATCTTTGCAGTGAGGTTGCGGTTTTGAATAAATAAAATTTGCGTTGGTAGTAAAAACCTTTTAATATTCCGAAATACAGTTAAATTTCTAAAAAGCTATTACGCTATTACTGGACACAATACATTTTATTTCTGCTTTTTTTAAATTTTTAGTTCGCTAGTGGAAGTGATAGCACTCAGCTTTTCTGTTTTAAATTAGCGGACATGTAGAGAAATTAACAATTTAATTAATAATCATTATCGTAAATTTTTGCTTACTATAAAAATAGTATCTCTTTTTTTATGAGAGCTGTAGTAGAAAAACAAACGTTATGAATGAAATTATCCTATGAAAAATTAAAATAATTTACTATATCAACAACAATGCCACCTGGCATATA